TAGGCACTAAATACAACTTAAAGACCATAAGAAAGATCACAACAGCCAGGAGGATGACTGGATGGGTACCCTGAGCTTTCAAAACAAGGGAAATAATGCCTATGGTAACTTCAAATCACTATCTGACTGCCCTGTTCAAAGCAGGAGAGAGCTGGAACAAACGGTAGAGTTCACACCAAGCCAGTGAAGCACAAATTACTGGGAATGCTTTTAAGTCTTTAACATACACTTGTTGGAGCAGAGATGCACGATAATATATACACCTGGAAAGTACTAGAGGGCCTGGTCCCAAATCTGCACAATGCCATAACTTACTGGAGAGATATGGGAAGGAAGTTTATTTTAAACTGAGGAGCAGGGGTGCGGTGGGGACAAAGGAACATTATAAACATTCGGGGTCCCCGACTAATCAGCATCTTGCCAGAAAATATCAAACTGCTGCAACAAGTGTAGAAGCCTTCAAGAGGAAATGGGGACAAGTATCTCGCCAGGTGCCAGATCAACTAGGCTGTAATGGATGTGGAGCAGCAGGCCTCCAGCAGCAACAGCCTGGTTGACCAGGCAAGCACCAGACAAGCCTGGCCCATGGCTGGGCTTAGAAACTAAACTATTAAAGGTATATCAAATTTTACAATTCATGTACCCAAATAACTACTTTTACTATTTTACACTAGTAGAATAACAAGCACAGATTGGGAATGTTTATTACAAACTTAGGAAGATTTAGGACAGGAACACCCAGTAATTTTAATGGCTGTATTGGCTATGCAGGCATAAATTAACCCTTTCAGTGTTGAGAGGCCCTCAAACTTTCTCAGGGTCAAAAATTTTGGAAAAATTATTTATGAAATTAGAGACTTCTCCCAATCATAATGCCAAAAGTATGAAATTTGATGGAAAACTTATTAAATTATGCTCTTGCAAAGTTAGTGCTCAATGTATACTTATCGGAGATTTCACCCACAGACCTTTGGCCAATTCCAGTGTACTAGTCAACAAAAATTGTAACTCATTAGAACTCCATTTTGTCCTATCAAACGAGTACAAGAAATCACCCATTTACCAATTTCAACTGTCAATAAAGTAGTCAAATTGGCAATTCTGCCAATTTCACACGAATTTCAAAAGATACCAATTTCCAAATAGTGTCCAGAATAAACAAGCCATTCCTGGCACTAAAATAACATTCTGTTTATTAGTCACATCCCCAGACCCATCTTACATTTCTTGTGCTTTCCACCGAGTTAAAAAGAAGATTAATAGTTATGCAGATTACTGCATTAGTGTAGAAATGGTGTAAATAATATCAACACTTGAAAGATTATTAGACTCCAGTTGACGTGTATTGGACGTGTGGAATGATTTGTTTACTTTTAAACTTTGGCAAAAATCAAACATTTCTGCTACTTTGAGTTCAATTTCTAGGTACTTTTCAGTGTGAAACCAATCCTTAGTGTTAAGTAGTCTAAGCCAATAATGTTAAGTTGGCCCATAATGCCTAGGCCTAATAGAGGCTTTTTGCATTGCAACCCACTACTGTAAATATAAAATATCAATGTACGGTTTGCAAGTAAATCAAACATCTGAATTTCTGTAATATGTCTTAGTCTATAAAGACCAAGAAAACTAGAATACAACCATAAATACATACGAAAATACACTGCAAAGTCACTATTTTAAACCAAAAAGTTCTCATTATGCACTGTGCTGCAGGATTTTTTTTTTTTTTTTTTTTTTTTATACTGTACACCGACCACAGACCTATTCTTTCATATGTAGGCCTACCAGCTTTCTCTCGCTAGATCTGAAGGTGCTAGAATTTATGCATAGTAGTACATCAATAACCCTGGTGTGCAAGACATACTAGCAAGTCTAAACCCAGAAAGGGTTAACCGCTTTAGGTTTACACGTGTTCTTTTCACGTTAGGGTATTTTCTGCAAGTACCTGCTATGAAGCTAAGGCAAGCACTTTATACCAAGGCTTTGCTAAATACTGGATGCATTTTGTACTGCTGTGTTAATGTTTAAGACATTAGCTAATTTCACCATTAAATGCACTGTGTGCACTCAATTACATTGCACAAGATAAAACTAGGGTCACCAAATAAGAATTTTATAGTCGGTACAGTGGAACCGGTTTTAGTCTGCCCTATTTTCGGTGAATTCTGTTGTCCCAGTTTTTGTCCATCACCCATTTTAGTCAGTCCGCCATAAACATGTCCGCACCCACAGAAAGCATCCCATGCGTTCAGAGTCTGGCTTTGTTTCTCCAGTGAGCATTACCCTATGCATGTCATGTAATTATTGCGGCTTTGGGGAAGTCCATGGGGTTGGATGCGAGTGGCCAGGATGTGGAAGAGTTGGACAACCACAAGGAAGAGCTAACCACAGAGGAAGAGGGAGAGGGAGAATGCACCTTCAGGTGCCAAGGACATGCGAGCAAAGTGGAGAGTTGCAAAGTTGGAGAAATATCACCTTAACAAAGCTGTTGTAAGCCATGTCTGCAACATGTTCAATGAAAGTCTTGTCCCATTTTAGGCAAATCTAAAAAGATGCCAGAAGCAGACCTCACTGGACAGTTGTGACAGATCCTGTGCCAGTAGGAGGCAAGCAACTCCCAGATAGGGACCTTATACCTGAAGTCCTTATGGAGGGGGATTCCCCTTCCAATAATCTCTCCTCCGTCTCCCCTCCTCGCGTCTTCCATACGCCAACAAGTCAATTAAAATTTATTAAATGTTCACTTCTCCACTTTAGTCCTTTATATTTCTCATTTTCTGTATGTAAAACGTTATTTTCTATAAGACGTATTAAATACTTTTGGGCGTCTGGGACAGATTAATTGGATTTATATTATATGGGAAATATTGCTCCAGTGTCAAATTAGGTTTTAGTCAGACTTCCTGGAACGAATTAATGAAAACAGAGGTTCCACTGTATTAGGTGTAACTTATAGTAGATCAGTTCAGACTGAAGATTGGCTATTTAATCCTTTGCAAATCACTGGTACATATTTAATAAAGTTCTACTCTACACATCTGCCAGATTGATCCCCTTAACTAACACCAGAGTACTTTAGTGAGGAATGTCCTGTTCAACATGACACTTCCACCAGTCTACCCTACTTGCCTGTGACGAGGTCCGACCTCGTGCCTTAAAAGGAGACTATCAAGGTTGAGGGACTGTTTCAGTGTTTTCTCCTGCATTAAACGTAAGCTGCTCATTGTGCAGGGGAGAAAAGTTAGACAATAAGAAACCTAAGTATTAGACATTCACTACATACTGTAGTACATTTGATTTAACCAAATACTGCCAAGATGTAAAAATAAATTTCCATCTTAACCACTGTACTGGTTATCCTGCAAGATGGTATAAATCTTGGTAATAAATACCGACAAGTTGGTTTAGAAAGACACGTAAGCAAACACTAACATATTTATTAGAAAATGTTTCGGTCCTGGGACCTTGATCACTTCTGAAGTGATCAAGGTCCCAGGACCGAAACGTTTTCTAATACATATGTTAGAGTTTGCTTACGTGTCTTTCTAAACCATCCTGCAAGATAATTGTAGCTCACAAATGGCTTCTGCCACCCATTGCATAGAGTCATGCTTTAAGTTTTCAACCATTCAGTTATGGATAAAATTTAAAAGTCCAACCCAAGAGCAAACTATTTACACCCTACTTAACTAGCCTGAGTAGGCCACTGGCTGTCTACAACCAAGGTTAGTCTACTTTAAATTCTTGTACTTAATATCTTAACTTTTGAAATCTCTCAAACTATGCCAAGGAATAAGTATTTGGTCGATTCAGTATCAAGCATATCCTTCACCTCTCAAAGCCGTGATTAGGAAAAAGTCATAGCATAAAACGTAATGGTAGGAAGTCTAGTACAAGGGATATTCACAAGATCAGTAACCAAGACAAGTTTAGAACATGCAAGTTTACCAATATGGATCATATGAATGTAGCACTGCAGCTGTCTGCATTTCCTTTACCAGTACACCAGTCAGGATTTTTAAAAGATACTTATGACGAACACCTGAACTGCTGCCACTGCACAATGTTTAAAGCACAAGTTAAGGGTTTTATGGCCCAATAAATGTTTAAAGGCAACTCGGTTTCTAGAAACTAAGCAGAAATAGTGAGCAGGATTACAAGCTTCAAGGAATGAAGTTAATCTAACTTCCAAAAGGGAGGTTGACTTTGCCTAGGTTAAATGCAAAAAAAAATTAACCCCCCCCCCCAACATAACATGCACCATCAGACTAAGGAATTTCCAAGTTCTATACCTAAAGCAAACATGGAAAAAAAAAAAAAAAAGCATCCAAGAATGATAGTATTTACCAAGCTTAAAAAAATATGCTACAATTCATTAGTCAATTAAGGAAAAACAAACTACACGAAAATCTTGGTAACTATCCAGTATTACTGCGGTATGTTCACTAAGTGGCGCTGCCCAATAATTTACAATCCCCCTGCCCCCCCCCCCCGGGGAAGTGAATTGGTGGGTGGGGGAGGGAGGTCCCACCCTCACTAGGCCAATTCCCACTTTCCCCAAGCTTCTGGCGATTTAGGGAACTAACGTGAGGGTGGCTGTGTGCTGGCGCCAGCACGGGGGTACTAGCTGCTGCCTCGACAAAAAAAAAAAAAAAAAAATTGAGAAGTGGCCTATCACTCGCTTGTGCCCCTTTAGCACGCACATTTGAAATGTCATAAATCACATACTAAACATTTACACCATAACCTCGCTACCTACACTCCATTTTAAAAGCTCCACCACTTACCATTAAAAAACCACTTTAAACCCTTAAAAACACAGTACTTCACCAAACAATTCATGATTTTCCCAACACACCGGTAATGTGGTGTCACGGCTTTTGCCGGCATCTTGTCCTCTCCTAGCTTAAAAACATGGGAATTAAGGCCCATCTTTTGACACAAAGTAAAAGCCACATGCTTGTGAAGATCCAAGTGATGGGAGAGAAAGAACAACTCACCATTGTGCTTTAGGCTACACAGGGATAGACACAGCTCAGAGTGGACTATAGACTCAGGCAGCGGAGGTTCAACTTGAAGGGGCGTAGTGTGAGTTGTGACGTCACATATCACTCCGCCGACCGCCGGCTTCACCTGCGTCGACGTCTCTCATTGGTTGAGTTACCTCGGCCTGCCAGCCCCCCTCTTCCTCCCAGCCAATCACAACCTTCCTTTCACCTAGATAAATGTCATCATTTGGGTGTATTTTTACTATTTAATAATTTCCTTTAAATGGAAAAAGTTCATTTTATACATTCATGACTTTTATAAATGTATGAGAGCATGTTACAGTTTGCTATAGTGCGTTAAAGTAGCATGCTAGAGGAACTACTTTTCCGGCACTCCCACGTAGTATATTTTGCGACACTCGCTGGCGAGCCTTTGGGAAGGGGCTCAAAATGTCCTCACTCAAGTCACGTTCTTCACTCATTTTCTAGCTTCATCTTATTTCATTGCTTTTAAAACATAGATGATAACATCCCAAGGAAATTAGCATAGTCGGAGCTTCAGCGCGAAATAAAAACTTGGTAATTGTTGGGAGTAGCGAGAGGAGGATAGAGGCCAATCAAGATTTGAAACAGAGGATATTGCCATATATGGTAAAGTTGGAATATCGTCTGCTCTCTCTCCTTTTCAATGGGAAGAATGATGTATCGATTGGTTAAGAATGTTTACAAAGGGACTCTGCGGTTTTATCCATGACATGAGTCGTACCTTGGCATGAATATTGACATTTAAGTGTCATATGACGCCCTTGAACGTTGCCTGAAAAATTTATATTTGATGATAGTTGAGTCATTCACCGCTGTGACACACATTGCCCTAATTGATCTCTCGCTAGTGTTTCAGTGGGCGCTGTACGCCACTGCGGACGCTGACAAACACATGTAATGTATGAAACATATGTTGTCTGAGTCATAGAAGTGAGAGGAAGATTCTGGAGTGGAGTATTATAGTCACGGATGGAGCTGCCATAGGTTTCTCGAATATATTTGATTAGTCTCCCACAGGTAGCTTATCTTGCCTTCTAGGCACTAGGTATCTTATGTGATGTTATGAGGCGATAGTTTGGCAACAACAAAAAATATAATAAGCGTCAGGAGAGTTTTATTTAGCAATCGCAAATAGAAAGCTTGAGATTGTGTAGTGTGTCCGTGCAAGAGGGTCATAAGTGCGCCCGCTGTTTAAATAAGGTAAGTTTTAATTAAGAAGTGAACGATAAGTTTTTTTTTTTAATTCCACTGTTTTGAATACTTACAATTTTTGCGTTAGGCAGCTGCTTACTATATTTATATAATATTGCTAGATAACCATAAAATAATACTGAACAACATCAAGGTCCACCAAGGACCCCAGTGGAAATAGTCACTTTGACTTTTTGGGGAGGTTATCGTAGGTAATCTACACACATGTTATGTATGATAATTTATGTAACTATTTATGTGTACCTGTACCTGAATAAATTTACCAAGGTTAACTACATCAGGAGTTGCTTGCCTCACTGTGTATAGTATACTCAAAGTTTGCTTTAATTCTTTTTTTTTTGAGGTATTTAAATATCCTTGACTGGCGATAAGCAGAGGCGCTTGCGGCCTTAATGACTCTCATAAAATGCTTAAAACAATTAAGAAGTTACCTGGTTACCTGGAGGTTAGGTACTTGCTATATTAATACAAATTATTTATCATGTGATTTTTAAGTATAAGGTCGTTCTAGCTATTTGCAGAATGCACTTGGAATTTAAAATATGCCACAAACTGCTGTAAACCTTGGATGGTTTGGCTCAGGAGTGGTAATCTGCTCACTCTGAGTTGAATGAGATATTTTCAGTATGTTACATTCCTGACGTTACAAAAACTGGTGCGAGTGAACTTGTTAAGAGCAATGAACACTAATGGAGGCGCTGGTGATGGACGGCCCTATCCTACCTGGAGTATACCTGCAGAGAGTTTCGAGGGTCAACGCCCCCGCGGCCCGGTCTCTGACCAGGCCTCATTCTGACGCATAACACATGTCTTGAATACCATTAATATGTGGCCATCCATGTCAACTTGTAAATGGTTCCGGGGGTCATCGCCCCCCAACCCGGTCTGAGATCAGGCCTCCTGGCTGAAGACCTGGTTACTCAGACTGTGCTTATTGTATCCCAACTCTTCACTGTGGGAATTTGGCAGACACTATCATATCTTGTGCTTCTGTACCTGTATAATTCATAGAATTTAGCTCTTGCCTGGAGTTTACCTGGAGAGAGTTCCGGGGGTCAACGCCCCCGCGGCCCGGTCTGTGACCAGGCCTCCTGGTGGATCAGAGCCTGATCAACCACGCTGTTACTGCTGGCTGCACGCAAACCAACGTACGAGCCACAGCCCGGCTGGTCAGCTACCGACTTTAGGTGCTTGTCCAGTGCCAGCTTGAAGACTGCCAGGGGCCTATTGGTAATCCACCTTATGTATCCTGGGAGGCAGTTGAACAGTCTCGGGCCCCTGACACTTATTGTATGGTCTCTTAACGTGCTAGTGACACCCCTGCTTTTCATTGGGGAGATGTTGCATCGTCTGCCAAGTCTTTTGTTTTCGTTGTGAGTGATTTTCGTGTGCAAGTTCGGTACTAGTCCCTCTAGGATTTTCCAGGTGTATATAATCATGTATCTCTCTCGCCTGCGTTCCAGGGAATACAGGTTCAGGAACTTCAAGCGCTCCCAGTAATTGAGGTGTTTTATCTCCGTTATGCGCGCTGTGAAGGTTCTGTGTACATTTTCTAGGTCAGCAATTTCACCTGCCTTGAAAGGTGCTGTTAGTGTGCAGCAATATTCCAGCCTAGATAGAACAAGTGACCTGAAGAGTGTCATCATGGGCTTGGCATTAAATGGTATTAAATATAATTCCTTTTTCATATTAGGTAATTTTAGTGTGCAAATTTTGAGCTGGTATTTCCAGTATTCTTCCAAGTGCATATTATGACAGCAGTTTTATCGCCAGTGCTCCTAAGAATATAACAAGGAATTTTTAAGCGTTCCCAATGATTTGTTTGAACTGATAATGTCAGTGAAAGTTCTCTGTACATTCTCCAGAACTGCATTCTGGCCTCCCTTAAATGGAACTCTGTGTGTAGCAATATTTCAGTCTAAAAAAAATGCAAGTAATCTAGCATGGGCATCAGCTGGAACTTTTCCAGGGCAAAGGGCAGAAGTTTCTAAGGAGAGGAAGGGGATTGCAAGGCCAAAAATTTCCGGATGGGGGGGGCAAGGGATTCTAGAGGGACAAGGGTGTTCAAAAGGGGCAATGATTTAAAAATGACAAGGATTTTCCGGGGGGGGGTCAAGTAGGTGACATGTAGTATTAATAAAGGTTTCCGTTTGTTGTATGCGTATTTTTACCACTGCAAGAATATACACAATGTGTTGACACTGTATTAGGAGCAGTGACAAAAGTGGTAGCCTATGAAGCATACACTTAGAGTTTACTTTAATCCTCACTTTAAGGATTCATTTGTTGTTAATCATCTGGGTACACGTGAATTTCAGCTTTAATGACTCAACCGAAGTTTATTGGATTTCAACGTAGCCTGTGTAATTAGTGCTAGGTAGCTGGTAAGGAGTAACCACACAGCTGTAGCATAGTGCGTGTGTGGGTCAGGGACAAGTGTGGTGCTCTCGTGGCAGCCTGCGCCTTCTTTGGCTCAATAAAACTCAACTCATTTACTGACTGTCCACGAGAGCACATTTACAGTGTCCACCCACAAACCAGTCGCCACCATACGGGAGAATGTTTTTTATATACTCTGACTTTGCAAAAACCTTTGCAAGTAAAACCCGGGGGTAACTGCACACAAAAGTTACAAAAGGAATAACTGGGGGGGAGGAAGGGGGATTTTTTAATAGAACCCAAATGGAGATAATCAAGGACTTTGAACTTAAAAAGAAGGAACACTGCAGCAGGCCTACTGGGCCCATGCAGGCAGGGCTAAGTCTCCCACCAGCTTAAGCCCATGCCCAACCCAATCAGGGGCAGGTCACTCCCTTAAGAAGCATGGCACAACCTATTAGCACAAGCTATCAGGCCAAACCCCCCCACCCCCTCATGGGGATCTTTTGGTAATTTCAACTTTATGATAAATTTAAATTTTTATGTGCGTGTACCTAAAACAACTTTCTAAAGTGGGCAGCGCAATCAGTACTGCTACGCCAAAAAGTTTTGTTCCTCAAGGCAATACTAGCCCCACTTCTTTCTAATTTTTCAAGTCTGACATATACAGGGGCAAACCATATTTTTAAAGAGATGGACCGGTAAGCCAACAGAATGCCTCGGTCAAATGACCAAAAGCTCCAGCTGCGGGTCATCATATGACTCAGACCCGCGTCAGGAAACGTCCTTCTCCTGACAAACTTAGTTTAACCTAACCTAACCATAAATCACAGCGCTTCTTTTTTTTTTTTTTGGCAGACGATGCTAGAATTTGTGTGAAAAGTGGCATCCACTGAAGGCAAAAATCCAAGCTAATATAAACCATTCGTATAAATAAAATATTAATTGGGTTGGGCAAATATTTTGTTAGTGGGAAGGATTGTAAAGGACCTGCCTAGTATGGGCCAACAGGCCTGCTGCAGTGTTCCTCCTTTCTTATGTTCTTATTATTACTTCTACTACTTCCAGTGGGCCGGTGGCCTGGTGGTCTGGTGGCTAAAGCTCCCGCTTCACACACGGAGGGCCCGGGTTCGATTCCCGGCGGGTGGAAACATTCCGACACGTTTCCTTACACCTGTTGTCCTGTTCACCTAGCAGCAAATAGGTACCTGGGTGTTAGTCGACTGGTGTGGGTCGCATCCTGGGGGACAAGATTAAGGACCCCAATGGAAATAAGTTAGACAGTCCTCGATGACGCACTGACTTTCTTGGGTTATCCTGGGTGGCTAACCCTCCGGAGTTAAAAATCCGAACGAAATCTTATCTTATCTTCACTGATAACAATATGATGTTCAGTCAGAAGCGTCGTAAGGGGGGGGGGCGCCCCGGGTGACACCACTTAGGGGGTGACACCATAGAGCCTCTAAAGATGAAATTAAGACACAAAGAAGGTGACACTAATGCTCCTGGGGGATTTCCCCTCAAGGAAGGTTCC